GAAAGCTTTCCATATAAAGAAGTTATTAGAGAACAGTTTTATACATTTCCTTGGGACTCCCTGTACTTTAACAAAGGCAAATTTTCTAACCTTGATAATTTCCTGCTTCGCTGTATCCATATCCTCCTTAATAAATATCTAGTGTTCAATAATGTTTGAAAACTCGGGATTTTTGGAGAAACTTTGCGACGCTTTATAAGCCCCTGCTTACACATGTGATTGATCAAACGATTAAGACCGCTCCAAGCTCTCGCCCTGCTCAAAGACCACCGCATTGTAAAAACGTGTGCTTTCATTTGAACTAATATTGTATAAGCGGGTTCAGTTCAGCCAGTGGGTAAATTGTATCTATGAATTGAGAGAATTATGGTTTTAGACAAGTTTGAATGTTTAAATCACTTCTAGCGTCGCAAGGCTCCTTTTAGTTGCTTTCTTCAGACAACCCTAAGCTGTTCAACGTTTCAAAAGCTTTAGAAACCACCATAAGCAGAAGCAACTGCATTGGAAACAACATAGTCCATGTACATAAAGAATTGCTCTTTTTTGAAGAGGGTATTAAGGAGGATTTGGAATCAACAGCGATGGAGGAAAGAAGCTCAGTATTTAAGTACATTTCGACTGTTTGACCAGTCATCCAACAGCCACTCGCCATAATTGCAACATTGCACTGCAGTTTACTGAGGTTGCACTCCACAGGACCTCAGAAGATGCTTAGAAGATAGAGATCAAATCAAAAAAAAATGATTAGACGACTCAATGAGGTAAGGGTACCACGTCACGAACTCGGTTATTGCCGAATTCTCATATGAGGTTACATAATATTTTTGCATAAGGAATGCAGCGGAATTCCTTATCCTCTAATTCAGGCGACTATTACATATGCAATCAAAATTGATCAAAACGTTGCGAATCCTTATATTCCAGTGTAGAACTACCGCTGGATTATGTTGCTTTGCTTATGGTGGTTACTCATAATGTATAAATAAGACATGAGTACAATAAATATAGCAGCTTAGTATTGCATGAGAAAGATTGAAGAATTCTATAATAAAATAAGTTATGCCACCTCTATCGGGATCAGTTTGGATCCTTCCACTCCTGATATCCGTACTCTCTCAGATTCTGTTGTAATTGTTGCGCTTCGATCGTGGACTACGTCTTCCTCGATGGGTATCGGTTCCGCCGTTTCCAAGTATCTTTGAGGCAGCTCTTCCGATGCAATTGGCGCATATTCGCTATATTCACTGCGGACATGCTCTTCTTCAATGGGTATCAGCTCAGACTGACCCCTTTCTGGCTTCTCCACCTCTAGTGCTGGTTCGATGTATTCTTGTAAAATGTCGTGTATCACTTCAACTTCGATAGGTATTAGATCAATTTCCTGCGGTTCTTTCGCAGAGATATGCTCGCTTACTGCTGGAGCAAACTCATTTATAGAATCGACTAATTGTTCGAATTCGATAGGAATCAGATCTACATTCTGAGCCTCCGCTGGTTGTAATTCTACAATTTCTGCCGGAGAGAGTTCATCGATGGTCTCGCGAATCTCTACGCTCTCAGCTGGTATAAGCTCTGCGACTTGAGGATCCACAGGAGGTATCTCTACCGACGCAGCTGGAGCTTGCTCATCGATGGTTTCGCGTAATTCTTGACTATCAACCGGTATTAGGTCAATGTTTTGAGCTTCAACTGGAGTTACTTGGACGGATTCTGCAGGAGGCAGTTCATTGACAACTATCCGAACTTCTTCGCTTTCGGTTGGTATCATTTCCGCCTCCTGTGCAGTTTGCATGGGCACCTGTTCAGACTCAGCCGGAGGTATCTCGGTAAGCGAGTCCGTACGTTGCTCGCTTTCGATAGGTATGAGATTTATTTCTTGCGGCAAGTTCTGCGGAACTTGTTCGGATTCTGCCGGAGGCATCTCGGTAAGAGAGTCGGTGCGTTGCTCGCTTTCGATAGGTATGAGGTTTATTTCTTGTGGCAAGTTTTGCGGTACTTGTTCAGACTCAGCCGGAGGTAACTCGGTAAGCGAATCCGTACGCTGCTCGCTTTCGATAGGTATAAGTTCCATCTCCTGTGGCAAATTCTGGGGTATCTCTTCGGATTGCGCTGGAGGCATCTCAGTGACGGATTCGGTTAATTCTTCACTTTCAATCGGTATCAAGTCAACTTCTTGTGGCACATTTTGCTGCACCTGCTCACTTTCTGCTGGAGGCAACTCATTCACAGTTTCCGAAAGCTCAACGCTTTCAATTGGTATCAGGCTCACTTCCTGAGGTGCATTTCGAGGTACTTGTTCGGTTTCCGCAGGAGAAATTAGGTCGAAAGAATCCGTAACTTCTGTACTTTCGACAGGTATCAAGTCCATCTCACGTGGAATATTCTTGGGTACCTGCTCAGATTCTGCTGGAGGGATCTCGTTGAATGACTCTGTAACTTCCTCGCTATCTATTGCTATCAGATCTATCTCACGTGGAGTGTTTTTAGGTACCTCCTCAGATTCTGCTGGAGGAATTTCATTGAACAAGTCAGTGATTTCCTCGCTTTCAATCGGTATCAAGTCTAT